TGGTGCTGCAGAAGCCCAGCATGCAGTACTTCTGAAGTGCTGCCGATCAGCTAATTGGCAGCACTTCAGAAGCCCTTTTAGCCAAGCCTAGCTGCCTTTAACCTGCCCACACCTGATGCCATATATGATGTCAGGTGATTGACAGGTGGGCATGGTTTGGCCAAATGTGGAGACCTGAGAGGCCTAATGAGGCTTCTGGCCTGCAGGATCCCTACCCCTGACATAAGCACTCTGCTGGACAACCAGTTTATTTATTTCTAAATAAATAAATAGGCTACATTTCTGTTATGCACTTGAATCCCTCCTGCCACTATGGTGACAGACAGGGGGCTTGCAAAACCCAGAAGTGTGGGGCAACAGCCTTGACTCTCCAGCTCCATAGAACTCCTGTCTTGCAGCTCAAGGAGACCTCTTGAGCCTTTGGAATTTCAATCTGGCAAACTTGGTCTTTCCTTGGCCTCCTCATGAAAGCTGAGGGCGCTGGCCTAGCCTGAAAGCAGAAAAAAAGACAGCTGTGTGGGAGAAACTGTGAGTGAAAGCAGGCAGGAGATCTACAGCCACAGCCCTTCAGGGAAGACTGTGTGTGAATGGGGGCAGGCAGAAGGATTTTGGAAACAGTGAAAAGAAGGCCTGGGGTGGGGATATGTGGAGTGTGCTGGCCTGGGAGGATTCCCAGTGGCCTATTTAAAGTGTTGGTTGCAGAGCATTTTCCTGATGATGAGGCAAGAAGCCCCTTGGGATCTTGCTTGGTGGAAATTGTTGATATTCTTAGCATTCCTGTGTTGTGCAGCCTGAAAAACCCAGGGAAAAAGTGAGCGGCTGCCTCATGTCTCCCAGGCAAAACCAGATGTGAAATGAACAATATCTGGAATAGGGAGGATTTGTTGCTTTCTTATCTGGAGTCATTTCCAATTTATTCACTGGCTCTAGATGAAGTTATTATTCAATGCAGCTAGGGATGGAGGAGGAATTCTCCTTACTCAGATTCCAAACCAGGCACAACTGATCTAATCCATCATGACCCAGTTGGCTCAATGGTCCATTTCAAAATCTGCAGTCCAATGGATTCACTTCCAGGGCACACTGAGTGACTGATGGCCATTGGGACTGATAGGGAGAAGGCAGGGTGACCAAGAGCTGACGGAGGCAGAGCCAAGGACAGGGGCAGCCAAGGACAGGGGGAATCTATTTAAAGACAATTATGAAAAAATGCTGGGCTGAAGTGAAAAAAGACTTAGAAATTTGGTCAAATTTGAAGCTTTCACTGCTAGGCCGTATTGCTGCGATAAAAATGAATGTATTGCCTAGAATGTTGTTTCTGTTTCAAACATTGCAAATTTTGGACAAAATGGATTGCTTCAAGAAGTGGCAGAGAGATATCTCTAGATTTGTCTGGCAGGGCAAGAAGCCTAGAATAAAATTTAAAATACTAACGGATGTAAAGGAAAGAGGTGGATTTGCCCTGCCAGACCTTAAACTTTATTATGAATCAGCAGCTTTTTGCTGACTGAAAGAATGGCTGCTTCTTGGAAACACAGACATTTTGGATTTAGAAGGTTTTAATAATGTATTTGGATGGCATGCATATTTGTGGTATGATAAGGTCAAAGCACATAAAGCATTTAAAAATCATATTGTCAGGAAAGCATTGTTTAATGTCTGGATAAGATATAAGGACCTACTGGAAAACAAAACCCCAAGGTGGCTGTCACCGATGGAAGCGAAAGCTCAGAAAAAGCTCAATATGGAGGCCAAATGGCCGAAATATTGGGAAATTCTGGAAGAAGAGGGAGATAGATTGAAACTGCAGAGTTTTGAGAAACTAAAAAACAAAGTGCGAGATTGGCTTCATTATTATCAGATAATGGAGGCATACAATTTGGACATGAAAATTGGCTTCCAGGTGGAAAAATCAAAATTAGAAACAGAACTGTTAGAACCCAAAACTAAGATTTTGTCAAAGATGTATAACTTGCTGTTGAAATGGAATACTCAGGATGAAACGGTGAAATCTGCTATGATTAAATGGGCACAAGATGTTGGACATAACATAATGTTGGCTGACTGGGAACTGTTATGGACCACAGGTATGAAGTTTACGGCATGTAATGCCTTAAGAGAGAATATTATGAAAATGATATACAGGTGGTACATGACACCAGTCAAGCTTGCAAAAATCTATCACTTGCCCAATAATAAATGTTGGAAATGTAAAGAAACTGAAGGTACATTCTTTCAGCTTTGGTGGACATGCCCAAGGATTAAGGCTTTCTGGATGATGATCTATAATGAAATGAAAAAGGTATATAAATATACCTTCCTGAAGAAACCAGAGGCCTTTCTCCTGGGCATGGTCGGCCAATTAGTGCCAAAGAAGGACAGAACTTTATTTATGTATGCCACAACAGCAGCAAGAATACTTATTGCAAAGTATTGGAAGACACAAGATTTACACACTCTGGAAGAATGGCAGATGAAGGTGATGGACTATATGGAACTGGCGGAAATGACTGGCAGAATCCGAGACCAGGGAGAAGAGTCGGTGGAAGAAGATTGGAAGAAATTTAAAGACTATTTACAGAAATACTGCAAAATTAATGAATGTTAGAATGATGTCAGAATGAAGTTAAGTGGTTTTAGCAGCAATGTTATAAAGGTGTATGTAAAAATGGATTGTTAACAGGTGAGAATCCAAAGTTATAATATATTAAGTTAAAGGATTAAGACAAAAACAAAGAGGGAAAGGAATTGCTGAATTAACTAATAGAACTGGAATACAAAAAAGGGAGGTGTGAGGAGGTCAGGGAAGTAAGGAAATGAAATGTAAGGCATGGAAAGATTGACGTGTTTTTTAAGTGTTTTTTATCTTTTTTCTGTATTTTGTATTTTTTCTTTTTTATTTCTTTCTCTTTTTCTTTTCTTCTTATCTATGTAATCTTTTCTTTGAAACTTTAATAAATATCATTAAAAAAAAAAAAAAGGGACTGGTAGGGAGAAGACCAAGAGCTGACGGAGGCAGAGCCAAGGACAGGGGCAGCCAACTATTTCCAGTTTTGCCCCCATCTTTCTCTGAGTTCAACAGAGGCAATACTGAGACACTACAGAGGAAGAAATTAATAGCCAGTGCCCCAGAATGGTTATTTATTTATTTATCTAGTTCTATTTATTGCATTTCTATCCAACCTCTTCTCCAGGGAGCTTGAGGTGGCTTCCATGGTTTCGCTCCTCCCCATTTAATCCCCACAACAACCCTGTGAGGCAGGTTAGGCTGTCAGGCAGTGACTGAAGCCCAAGGTGAGCTTCATGACTGAATGAAGATTTGAGCACCGGCCTCCCAGGTCCTAGTCCAGGGGTCGGCAAAGTTTTTGTGGCTTGAGCTGGTTCACGGTCCCGCAGATGGGGTGCGCATGCATACATGTGCAAATGCTATTTTCGGCGTTCCTTCCAGCGCGGACGTGTGCGCAGGAGCTTCCTGCAGCCAATGGGAAGCCGGCCAACTGAGCGGGCGGCGGGGGTCCATGGGCCAGTTTAACGACGCCTATGGGCCGCCCCCTGTCCTAGTCCAATGTACTAACCATCTACACCACACAGGTTGCAAGTAAGAAGACAGGCAGGTGGGGGCTGGCTGCGGGCAGACTGGTTATCCACAGTTCCCTTGGAAGAAGGATTGGCTGTTAAACCACTCTTGGGAATTACAGTAGTACCTCGGGTTACATACGCTTCAGGTTACATACGCTTCAGGTTACAGACTCCGCTAACCCAGAAATATTACCTCGGGTTAAGAACTTTGCTTCAGGATGAGAGCAGAAATCGTGCTCCGGCGGCGCAGCAGCAGCAGGAGGCCCGATTAGCTAAAGTGGTGCTTCAGGTTAAGAACAGTTTCAGGTTAAGAACAGACCTCCGGAACGAATTAAGTACTTAACTCGAGGTACCACTGTATAGGGACAGAAATACCCAAACTGTACAGAAACTTATTCCTGTATGCTACTACTGCAGCAAGAATGTTACTTGCCCCCAAATGGAAAGAAGTAGAAGTCCCAGCAAAGGAAGAATGGGTACAAAAACTTACAGAATATGCAGAAATGGTGAAACTTACCGGAAAAATAAGAAATCAAGATAACAAACTTTTTATATAAAAATGGAAATGGTTTATTAAATATTTACAAATAAATTGTAAACAGATGAGAACATTGGCAGGATTATAATAATAATCTGCAGTTTCATAAGAGTATATATTTAAAGTACAGTGGTACCTCTACTTATGGACGCGATCCGTTCCATGGTGCTGTTCGCACCTCAAAAAGTCCGTAAGAAGAGCGCCACTTCTGCACGTGTGTGTGACGTGATGGAGCCCTCCTGCGCATTCGCAAAGCGCACAGATCGCTCATGCGTATGCGCGAAGCGGCAAATCTGGAAGTGAACACTTCCGGGGTTGCCACGTTTGTAACCTGAAAAAGTGCAACGTGAAGCAAACGCAACTCGAGGTATGACTGTAGATGAATAAATGAACAAATTAAGTTAATTTGGATATGTAGAAGGTACAGTGGTACCTCAGGTTACATGCGCTTCAGGTTACAGACTCTGCTAACCCAGAAATAATGCTTCAGGTTAAGAACTTTGCTTCAGGATGAGAACAGAAATCGTGCTCCGGCGGCGCGGCGGCAGTGAGAGGCCCCATTATCTAAAGTGGTGCTTCAGGTTAAGAATGGACCTCCGGAACGAATTAAGTACTTAATCCGAGGTACCACTGTATTAAAAATAAATTTAAGGAATTGTACAAAGAGGGGGTAGGAAGTCAAGTTTTGAAATGTTAAAATGACTGTAAAATTATTGAAAAGTATAAACCTGAAAATTATAAATAAAATTGGAGGGAGGGGGAAAGACTGTTAAACCACTCAGAATTGTAGCTCTGCGAGGGGAAACAGAGGCCTCTTAAGTCTTAACAGCACTCAGCGCCCTTAACAAATTACACTTCCCGGGATTCTTTGGGGGAAGCCATGCCTGTCTAAAGTAGTATGATACAGTACTGCGTTAAATATATAGTGCAGCTTGGGGCCTTAGTCGTGTCCATTAATTCCAATGGGCCCATTCTGAGTATGACTCACATGGGATATAACCCATTGTCTCTCAATGCAACCTACCTCTCAGGGTTGTTTTGAGGATAAAATGGGGGGGGGGGGCTATGTACATCGCTTTGAGAAAGGTGGAGTGTGTAAACATATTCCCTCAAACTGTGCAGTGAGTTTCTCCAAAAGAGGGAGGACTCTGAGGCCCTTCCTCTTCCTGTCAGATGTTTGCTTCCAAGGTGCCAGGTAAGAGCCCATTGGGCTTCCTTCTCTTCAGGCTTCCAGGTTCACCTCCTGAATTCCTAGTAATCCTGCCAGGCTGGACATAATTTGTTTGTCTTCTGCGCCAGGTCAGGTCAGAACAGTCAGCTCTGATAAGATTAAATAATCACACACCAGGTTGTGGATTTTGGCTGATGGGATGTGAGGGGGGGTGTGGGGTTATGCTGTGTTATCTGAGAGACATCCCTCCCTCCCTCCCTCCGCCATCACAATTTCCTCTCAGCAAGCTTATTTATTTATTTGATATATTTATGTCCCACCTTTCTTCCCAGTTGGGCTTCAGGTTTTAGCATGGGGAGCTGCAAATGGAAGTATTCCGTGATCCAGGATGCAAATATAACTGGTAGTGATATTGCAGACATCCAAATATTGTGCATAGGATGGCTGATGCCACGAGAAGAATGCATCCTGCAGTGGCGATAAATGCATACATGGACAAGAGCTTATTTCACAGTATAATAGTTAGTCTTTAATATGCCACAGGACTTTTTGACAGTTTCACTGTGGAATCCTTACATTTTTTGAAAGTGTGTTAGGGATGGACGAATCTCCCACTTTAGTTTCTCTGTTTCTTTCCCCCCGCCCCCCAGCTTTAAACACACACCATTGCTGCATCAGTTTGTGATTTTTTATTTTAAAAGGTCTGTAATTATAATGTGCATTTTCTTGTTCAGTTTTGCCTAGTGCTGTACACACATTTTTTGCAAGCAATTGCAGAAAATAGAATGGATTGTTGTACATTGATTTCATAAATATATGCCCCTCCCCAATTTCACCCACTATATCCATTTTTGTATGCATATTCAGGCTGGGGAGTTGTATGGCAATATTTGGAGAAGGTGCAGATTTTGAAGGATGGTTGCATGTCAGTTCTCATATTGTTTCAGGAAGTGTGAATTAAGCAAATAAATGCTTTCCCCAACCCTAATTGCATTTCACATTGCAAATTTCCCCTTTCCTTTGTGTGGGTGGGTGGGTGGAATGTAACATTGTGCTCTATTTGACTGGGATAAGGTGCAAAGAACAGGAGTGCAAGACCAAGGGGTGGGATCATGGCTATGAGAAAACATGTTAAAAAAAAAAAAGTTCAAAGATTTTCTCTGCTTTCCTAAACCTTTAGCAGAAGAATGGCCAACTTATTTTCAGAGCTTTCTCTGAAATCATGAGTGCTGGTTTCATGAAATGTTAGTTTAAAAGGGGGGGGGGGAGAAAACATCTACTGAGGTTTCCTAATGCAGGAACTGAAAAGGGTGCTGAGACCTCGCCTCCCAAGGCCGATTGGAGCACTTCCACCACAGCCAGGTATGTCCCCTCAGAGCCCACTGACTGAGGATGCGGGCCATCAGGGAGCAATTTGACAAAGTCTCCCGCCGAAGGTTGCATTGAAGGCGATATGGCCATTGGGTTGAAAAAGGTTCCTCACCCCTGCTGAAAGACAGTCACTTTTTCTTAATTAACCCATCTCACAGAAAGTTTAATAGTGGGAGGGCAACAGCCCTTTGTGTGAGCCTAGGTGTGTTACAAGAAGGCAGAAGAATCTGTTTTCATTTGTGAGACATCTGATATGCAGGTTCCCTTGGGGTCTCCGGTGGGGAGCCAGGATGTCTCACAAATGAAACCAGATTCCTCAGTTATGCAGGAGAGAGTAAAGAATGGTGGTGGCAGAACAAAGTGTGGTCAGGATGATAGATGAATGGACAGGGGCTGCTGTGTGAGAGAGCTGTATCGAACCAGGACTTCAAAGTCCATCCATGTTGTCAAACTGCATTCCAAAGGCCACAGGGAACTTTTGGCAACCTCTGTGAAAAGTGAGTTATGGCTCTGCAGATATAGCATCCACGTCTTTCTGCAATTTGCGTCCAACAGATCGGCACGGTTGGGTTCTAACTAGACCATAGTGCTATGACCCAGAATAGGCAGGCTCCTCTATGCTACTTCAAACCTTGGCCTAAATTTGTAATAAGAGAAAGGCTGACATGTGCGCCTCTGCCTAGAAACCTCATGCAAATGTTGACCTGAAGCCTTGCCCCAAAGGCCTGACCTTGGGGGCAAAGGAAAAGCAATCTGCTGCCCCACAACAGAACAGGGTGACAAAAGGGAACCAGGACCCCTGCACCCTTAATGAAGCTTGTCACGCAAGCCACACTTACTGAAATCCCTTCTTCTACGCAATTATTAAAGGTGCCTGGGTCCTGCTGTATTTTCCTACCTGGCTGTCCAGCAATTGCAGAGAAATATCACAGCAGGGGAAAATGCAGCAAAACCTTGCAAAGAAGTCCACAAACATTACTTATCTACAAATGACAATGTTAAGCCTGAGGAATGGCCTGGTTGTCAAGCAGTTCACAGAGGTTTCCGGGCCTGGGGAAGAATCCTTTGAAGCCAATTCTAATTCACTACAGATGAGGTGGCAAGGGAATAGCCCGGGTCCCTCCAGGCGCCCGTCTTACCGTGCCTTCATAATGATTTGTGCTCATGATAGTATTGAGGCAGATAAATGTGATCCTGCTTTCTATACTGTTTGTGCAGGCAAATGTTTCAGGTTGGACATTCAGCTTTGTTTCCAACCAACACATGTCCCATTGTTTTCTGCTGAAATCCTGTAACTTTTTATATTACAAATGTTCTGGTTGTTTTTGTGGTGTTTTTTTTTTTTTATAAAAAAATTGCTTAATGAGGCAATATTGGGGAAGTATTGCAGAACAACTAAAGATGTGAGGATGGTCCCTTGCTCCAGTATAAATCCACCACTCATTATTGCATTCAACGACATGTTGCATCAACTCCTCCGTCCGCACAATATTCTGGTGAAGCCTTTTCTGGTTCCTCACTTCTGATGAAGGAGGTCATCAGAAAAGAGCTCAGCAAATGAGTCTTAGGGCCCACCCACACTTAGGTTTGTCCTATGGTTTCAAGTTACAGGTCCAAGAGGTTTGGTGGTGATTGGTTTTTTTTTGTCCTTCCATTTTCCCTGCTGTTTACTGCTGAATCGGAACAAGCGCTCCTCACATTGCTGGGCCCTGAAAATGAGCCACCTCCCTCCCAGTCTCGCAGCACATTTGGAATTGCTGTGGTCCAATGGTATACTATGTGTTGCTCCCCTAAGAATTTTTGCACTTGGGGCAACTGCCCCTGTGGCCTCCCCACGCTACACCACTGTTTAAGGTAAAGGTAAAGGGACCCCTGATCATTAGGTCCAGTTGTGGCCGACTCTGGGGTTGCGACGCTCATCTCGCTTTATTGGCCGAGGGAGCCGGCGTACAGCTTCTGGGTCATGTGGCCAGCATGACTAAGCCACTTCTGGTGAACCAGAGCAGCACACGGAAACGGCGTTTACCTTCCCGCCGGAGCGGTACCTATTTATCTACTTGCACTTTGACATGCTTTCGAACTGCTAGGTTGGCAGGAGCAGGGACCGAGCAACAGGAGCTCACCCCGTCATGGGGATTTGAACCGCTGACCTTCTGATCGGCAAGCCCTAGGCTCTGTACCCAGCCTAAGTAGGTGTAGTGGTTAGAGTAGGTCAGTCTAGGACTGGTGAGACCCCTGATTTAATTCTGACTCAACCAGGAGGCTCTTTGAGTGATCTGAGGCCAGTCACTGACCTTGTTTGCATGCAATAATAAGCTTATTGTGGGGGCGGAGAACCTCAAGTCCAGAAGCTAAATGTGACCCCTCTCTGGCAGGTGCCACTCTCTGGTGCTTGTGACTCACTCCAGATCCTTCACTGGCCCTGCTCTAAGTTTCGTGCCATTTTGTAAAACATAATGTTATTTTGCATTTTAGTATTTCATACCCTCCAACATATCTCCGATGATAACAGAGATGTCCTAAGGAAAAGCGGAACATCCTGGGATCAAATCAGAAACCGGGACGGCTTCTTTAAATCAGGGACGTCCCTGGAAAATAGGCACACTTGAAGGGTCTAGTTTGTTTGTTTGAATTACACATGAGGGGCACCACAATCTTTTTAGTGCTTAGGGCCTCTAAAGGTCTTAATCTGGCGCTGAACCCCGGTCTCCCAGGTCTTCTTAGTCCAACACTTTAACCACTATTGGCTCGCTAAGGTTACAGCTGCACTATTTAAAGTACTCTTGTATCACTTTAACAGCCATAGCTCCCCACAAAGATTCCTAGCATTCCTGCTGTTTGTTAAGGGTGCTAGGAATTGTAGCTCTTTGCACGGGTCTCCCAGCAACTGTCAGCACCCTTAACAAACGTTTGAAGTTGTACAAGAGTGCTTTAAATGTATGGCATGGGGTGACCGCAATCAGTTCTCCCGACTCTCCATCAGCTTGTCCAGGATTTGCCTGTCCTGGCTGACTTGCCACTGAGCATCATAGCAGAGGCTAGTTGAAAGGAGCCACGTTGTTCTTCCTTTGTTGCTGCCAACACAGGCCGTGGGTGGCCAAGAGCGTCTGCACGCTTGAGCCAGCCAATCATCTCTCAGGATTGTGTTCTGACTTCCTAGGAGCCAATGAAAGACAGGTGCTCTCAAAAGGCAAGAGAGGGTGGTGAAGAGGACCAGGGCGTGCTGGAACACCTGGCCTCTCTTCTAGGGCACAGCTGGCTTCCATCCTATTGAGACAGCCAGAGGGAATGAATGTTTACTTAACCTTTTAAACCTGCCAAGCACTATGTTCAAAGGACTTGTGGTCATTATAACTCTGGGTGCTCCCATGGGAAATGTTTGCAAGGTGTCCCTGAGAGCCTTGATTGAAAACCCTTCAAAAACCAGACCTTGGATAGTCATGTTGTATAGTTAAGTCCCCAGCCAAGAGAGATGGTCTCTCTCTCTCTCTCTCTCTCTCTCTCTCACACACACACACACCACTCAAGGGCCCAACTAGTCCCCTGCTTGCATAGGAGATAGCTTTCGAAAGACTAAGGCCCCCATCTGCACTGAATGTAAAGTAGTGTAAAACCACTTTACACAGTCATAGCTTTCTCCAAAGAATTCTGGGAATTGTAGTTTGTTAAGGGTGCTGAGAGTTATTAGGAGACCACTGTTTCACTCACAGAGCTATAGTATAGTACAGAGTAGTTTAACAGTTGTTCCCTCTTCCCAGGGAACTCTTGGAACCACAGCTCACCCTTAAAAAACCGTAGTTTCCAGAATTCGTTGGAAGAAGCCACGACTGTTTAAAGTGTGATGAAATGGCTTTAAATGTGTCGTGCAGATGGGGCTTAATAAAATGTGGTGGTGGGCTCAAAAGCAAGGTAATGGAACATTCATGCTAAATCTGTAATAGGTACAAAGTATTGATATCAGTTGGAGGGTACAAGACACCCTGAATTCCAGATCAGTCTAGTGTTAGAATGTAATTAAGGTTTATGTGTTAAAACTGTGTGTCAGACTCTCACGTGTTAGAATCTAATCAAGACCCGTGTGTATTAAGCTGTATGTCCAGTGCCTCTTTAATCCTAGGAAATCAACAAGATTTTTTTTAAAAAAACCTACTGTAATTAAGTCAGGCTAAATTCCTTTCATGTGATAGCCTGGGGATGAACCAATAAAGCAACACAAAGTATCAAGGGCAGATCTCATCTGGAAATGAGTGGGCTCCCTCACTTAACTGAGAATTAGTTTGGGGTCAGCTTAAGTCCAAGGTTGTCTTGGACTTGAGAAGCCCAGAACCTCTTGGGGTGTTAATGCTGTGAATCCCTCCATTGTAGGCTCAGGTTGTATATATGTG